TTTAGAATCGATGTAACTCGTAAATTAGCGCATTAGTCCATTAACAGTAATAGAAGTCAGATTAAATTATGACAGACGCTTTCTTTCACCGATCGAAAAATTCTCTTAAATTTAAACTGCCTCTGAATCATTTATTCAGTGGTTCGTCATATAATATACTCAGGACAATTTACACGAAAACAAAAAAGTAACTTGTCATGAGCATATAAGTGAAATTTTGTAAGGACTGTAGATAAAGAAATACATCATCGAATGATGAATGGTAGGGGTATGGACTAAGTTACCCGTATGTAATTCGTAAAGGTAATGTTTTAAAATTTGAGTGAACAAGTTAGAGTTTGGTTGGCTATTTCTAGAAATGTTATTTTCAAACCTCATAGCAGATGGAAACCCATCAAGCAGCTCTTAGACCAGAAAACCCCTACCCCTGGAATCTCCTGTCCCTTAATTAGGAATATTAAAGGCTGACATCAACTCCAACCAAGAAATGCGGTGGACGGGACAAGGACGAAGGAAGGTGGATCCTTGTAAAATATACTATAGCGGCCATATAAAGAAGGGCAAATATGGTGTCGGATTTGTGTTGTGGGAGAGACTCCGAGTTAATGAACGTCTCGCCACAAGCCGCATCAAGTGGAATTTTTCAACACAACGTCTTTAAGATGCGACGGAAAATGAAGATATCATCAAGGATGTTTTTTATGAGCGCTTCAAGTATTCTTATGAGCGCTGCCCTCGCGATGATGTCAAAATTGTGATAAGCGACTTCAACGCCAGGGTGAGCAAATAAGTATCTTCCCCAAACCGCAGAAAATTTCAGCATCCACGACAAAACATCGCAAAATGGATTGAAGCTGATCGACTATGGTTGTTTGTAGGACTAGATTCCAACACAAGAAAATTCATCAAGCTAACTGACTGCCTCAATCGAAAATCCATAACAATATCGATCACGTGCATGTCTAACTCCATTCGAACAGATATGGCGACTTACGGAAGGTTTCAAGACTAGAGGAAACACTTGTAGGACCCAGAGAGGAGTTGTAGCGACGGATACCCGGAGATGTAGAGCCCGAAACCCCAGTCGATGACTAAGTAGAGCTTCGGAAATCGATTGCCCATTTAAAGAACAACTAAACGACTAAAGCTGACGGCCTGCCGGCAGAGCTATTCAAACATGGCAGTGAAGAGCTGACTTTTTGCGTCAATAAGCATGGCATAAGACTAACCAATGTCACAAATAAAGTCATTTCGAGAGTATTGTGTGAAAGACTAAAGCCCACCGTCAACAAACTGACTGAACCTCATTAGTGTGGCCTAGACCTAGTAAATCAAGCATTGACACCCACCACCTCTTCGTTGATTTTAAAGCCCCCTTCGACAGACCTTTACCCTTATACTACTGTATAAACTGACGCTGGACAACACCAAAAGCGCAGTCAGAATCGGGAAGAACTACCTCTATCGTTCGGTACAAAACAAGGTTTCAGACAGGATGACTTTTTATCGTGTGATTTCTTCAATTTGATGCCGGAGAAAACAATAAGAGCTGCATTGTTAAATAAACAAGGTGTGTTCGATCTTTTACCAGAGTTTCCAACTACTGGCGTATGCCTATGATATTGATATCATAGACCTTAACAATCGCGCCGATAGTTCTGATTTCTCCAGACTCTATAAGGAAGCGAAGTGAACGAGGACAAGACGAAATATCTCATTTCATCAAACAAACAGTCCACTCCTTCACCCCGACATACATTAAACACCATTCACCAAGAGTCCGTCAACACCTTCCTGAGCTCTCTTCCAGTGAATGGCGTTCTCAGAATCAAACCACCCACCTATTGTAGACGAAGAGCTCGAGCTGCAACGAAAGCCGCGCGTAATACTGCCACAACCCATCTAGCCCCACCTTTCCCTCAGGCTCGAACCCACCAGAACAGCTAGTTTCCTGATTTTTGGATAGATCTAGCCTGCTCCTAAGCGATGTTGGCGAACCGTTACAACAACAACAACCAGCGAAGGTCATCCGTGTGGATGAAACCCCTTCTGCTTTGAAAGTATTCGATGCAGTACCCGCTGGAGGAAGAAAAAGACCTCTACTCAGGTGGACCGTAATCAGATATTTGGCATATCCTACTGGTGCCAAACAGCTTAAAAACGCGATGAATGGCGCGATATTGTTAATTCGGCTTTAATCGCGGAAGCGGCATCTTCACCGCTAAAAAGACCTAATCCTGGTGTAACTTTGTGGAGTTTTTGTCCATAATAAGATTGCCGGCTCTATCCGGGCAGAAAGGACCCTGTGGCAGTGAATATACCACTCTCACCGGAGTTGACCCGGATTTTATCCGGCCAAGGGCTATCAAATTTTTGGCGGCATAGCCCTGTTTAGGTCCATAGGTAACAACATTAACCTAGGTACACCAGAAGAGCAAAAGCTCGCAGCTGAGTTACTCCAAACCATTCTCATCAGGGTTGGCATCGAAACCAACCTTGGTCGGGCGGATTATTACTGCTCGGTTAGATGTAACCAGTGCAACGGTTGGAGTCATCTTAAGGCCTGCTCAGGCCTTAATACGCACAGGTAGTGGTCCACAAGTGCCCTCTCAGCGTCCACGGCGGTGCCATTAGCACCTCTACCCAATTTGGGTAACCAATGATCTCTATCCCTATCTACAACATCGCCGCCAACCAACTCCAACATGCGGTATTCGATCCAGCGGGTATTACAGCAAAAACAAACTACACCCACTCATCCCTCACTCACTCCTTGTATTACGAACGCTCCCCAGAGACAGACACGACTGCTATAATTTAACTGCAGCGGACTCCAGGGGAGGGTCGACGAGATAGTTTACTTTATGAGCCGGGAGCACCTGCCAATCACTGCGATCCAGGGAATGAAGTTGACTGCCCGATCTCTGAGTCGGGCCGTATACAACATTATCCGTAGGGACCGCGAGCGAGACTATGACGGGGGTTAATCTTGCACAACACCGTGCAGTAACGTCTTATCGATTGCGACACCGAGCCCAATATCTACATTCCTCCTTATACAAGTTGCCCAGTTGGATATAGCAATGATATATATGCGCTACTCAGAGGCGAAAACCGTTTTATTTTGAGCGACTTTAACGCTCCTCACCATCTTCGGAATTCTAGCCTGTCAACTGACCGTAGAGGAATTGAGCTGGCGGAACAGATAGACGACTTGACATTCTGCACAATGACCGACAACACCCCCACCAGAGTTATGGGGTATTACCAAAGCTCGCCAGATATAACAATTACGAGTGCTGGTCTGATAAACACTATGGCACAATGGAATTTACCGAAAACGCCTTCAGTGCACTCCCCACTCCATCAGACGTCACTGGTGAACGTTTATTCCGCAGTATTGCCGTGAGTGCTGTCTCTTCATCCGGGCAGGCCAAATTGCGGAAGGCCGCCCTAATTTCCCGACGGAAGCGGCGATTTTAGGATCAAGACGCGACATCCTTGGTAACACCGATCCCGGCAATCCTTTAATCAGGGACTTAATCGCTGAGATTCATAAAGTAGTCAACAACCAACATCATTTTCTAACCCGACGGGACGCGATGACGGAGTGGAATTCAATTCGGTTACCGCGTCTCGTTGGACCCGAAGAGGTGAAAGAGCTATTTTAGCCAAATCTTCACATTGCATCCGTCGGCAGACAAAATGAAGGGACACGCCTCCGCAAACTACCAAACATCATGAGGTCATCGAGAAGGCGAAAGCCTCTAAATCCATCGGTCCCGACCACCAAGGTCTTTAATTTGCCTTTGACCACCCGAATGATACCCGACGTGTGGAAAATGGGCAGAGTGGTCCCGCTACTCAAGCCGGGGAAACCAGCCACCAAGGGAGTATAGCGAAGACACTTGAGACCTTGCTGCTCCCGAGTCTCACTCACCATCTGCGTCCAACAGCACAGGTACATGGCTTCCATATGGTGCACAGTACCACAACAGCACTAAACGCCATAAGCACACAGAGGTGGATCATGGGTTAACTGAGTGTTCGACAATCATCGGTAGAATTAGAGGTGAAACTTCGAAACTTAGGAAAATAAAACAAGTGGTTTCGCAGTGTGGTGTTCTTTCCCCACTACTGTTTAATTTCTATATTTCGAAACCCTCTCCTCCTCCCTCCCCAGAAGGAGTTTCCTTAACTTTTTATGCCGTTGTTTGCACGATATTGGCGTCTGGCCAGGATATTGACGAGCTTTGTTCGAAATTGAACTGATATCTTACCGACGTTTCCCACTTCTTCACTGCAAGGCTGCTTAAAATTTCACCAGTTGGACGAAGGAGTGCAGGCTCGAACGAGATGTGAAGGTCGATGACGTAAAAATTCAGACCATAAATAACCCAAAAGATATTGAGTCACATTTGACAGACTGCACACTTTCAATCTGCAAACGACCGCAATTTTCGCAGAAATCCAGAGCCGAAACAAAATACTTAAAGCACTAGCCGGCAGCAACTGGGGATGGCAACCTACAAAGGAATTGACCGGTCGGTCTGGGCGCCGGGAACGCACGAGACGCAGATGAAGAAGCTACAGGCTTGCCACACCACCGCTCTCATCGCATTAGGAAATCTCCTGATGTCGCCTAGACACATCAGAAGGGGAGTACTAAACATCAAGGACACCATCCAGCAACACGTAAACACCATTCACCAGAAATCGGCCAACACCTTCAAAGACGTCCTTTCCGTGAATGACGTGCTCGGAGAAAAAGCATCACCTAAGGCAGACAACGAGCTCGAGTGGCCTCGAGTGGCCTCGAGAGACCCGCGTAACTTTGGCACAACTTAAGTTCGGATACTGTAGCAGCTTAAAATCCTCCCTAACCAGACTCGACCCCAGCATATCCGACGTTTCCTTGACCTCTTACTTTTGACGCTACCTATTAAACTGTTACTTGGTAACGAAGGATAATCTTAAAGTAAAAAGAAATGCCGAGTGAATATTATTATCGACGCCTATCTATTTAGGAAGTAATTAACGTTTCATATTTTTATTTTGTTGTTTAGTGCACTAAAGCTATTTATAAAGTAAGCAAGCATATTACATAGTTTAACTCCATATTTTAAGGGAGTTCAAGTTTTGATTCGATTGATACCGAAACCTCAATACTCCCTGCTATAGTCTTCGAGTATAACAGGAGGTATCATCAATCTGTGAATAAATTATTGTTATATCTATATATAATATATAAGTATATGTATGTATGCATAAAACATAAGGCGTATCAAACACCCGCTTGCGTTAAGAATAAACAGGTAGACAAGATCTTCCGAATTATTGAAGATGACGAATTACTTATTATTTAGTTTGCACTAGCTTTTGGCATTTCTTGTCCCCCTACATTAAGAGCAAACTTCTTGGGCGGTGGTGCTTCTATGTCAGTTTGCTCAGCATCCAAGTCAATCTAAAATAAAATTATAAACACAAGCAGTGAATCACATGGCATAACAATCGATAGATGGCTTTCTCACCTCCATTACAACATTATCTTTTTGTAAATTTGTATTACCACTATTTAACTTAGCGTCGTCGCTACTGAATTTTATACCAGTTGTTTCACTTGAAGCTGTATTATCTGACTCATCAGCGACATTAGACATGGCGCCACTGACCCCTGTACCGGCAGTAGCTGCTGCGGCCGAAGTATCTTTTTTCTTTAAGTCCTCTCTTTTGTGGTTTGTGGCGGTGATGTCAGATGTACCTGTAGAGGCCGAAGCAGCTGCTAATGTTTCGCCCTTCTCTGTCTCATACTTTTTTAGTTCCTGATCTAGATTATATCGTCGACGATTGCTTACAAAAAAAGTACGTACGTGTGCCTCAGTCTTCGTGCCAATCGTTTCTGCGATTGCCTACAAATGATTTATGTAAGATTAAAATTTCATTACTTATATGATAAGATGTGACATTACTTGGAAATCCTTGCCATATCTTCTTACACCTTGCACAACAAGCAAAGCTTCATCATTTGACCAGCGAGAATTGATTCGATTAGTATTTTCAACTGGACGCACATCATCTAATCCTTCGGAGTTCTTTCGCTTTAGGGCAGAAATATTTTGTTTGTTTAGTTGGACCTAAAAATTAATTGAAAAAAAAAATTACAATAAATTGCATTATTCCGTTGGATGACTTTTGTGTCACGCTTTACGTGGTATAAGAACTTACATCCCTATCTTGAGAATTTAATTACAATACAATTTTTTTATTTTATTAATTTATATCAAACAAAAAATGGGTAAAAATGGTGCCTATTACTTTTCCATCCACGATTTTTTAACTTTTAAATGGGGACCTGCCGGAGTATTGAATTTTTATGAGCTACGGAAAATCGATGTTCTTAACATTGCGATGGTGAGCAACCATGCATTGCAGTAACAGAAATACTAAATAAATTTTTTGAGTTTTATTTTCAACAAAATAAAAACAAAATCTTTTTAAAGCAGTTTCATTGAAAAATTAGGAGTACATCGAACCAAAATAAAAAAAATAATAAAAATTAAAAAATAAATTAAGGTTGATCCGATCAATTTCTTGTTCCCACCTGGCTTTTGACAAAAAAAACTTAACTCTTTCGACCTTTCAACATAATTAAATTTGTAGCTACTGAAAAAAGTTTACATTTTTTCAATCATTTTTTTTTTTTTTAATTTGGACAAGGTTTATATAATACAGTTCCGGCAACCATTGACCTCACCGAACCAACTTCGTCACATTTACAGCGGACATGACTTTTTTATGACTCCACTGATCTACATGGCAGACTTATTGTATGCGATTAGTGACGACTAAGTGCATAACTTAAAATTAAAAAAAATCGTAACTCTTATTCTTAACAATGTTGCAGCAACTATTGCATAATTATTAAGTTTTCTTGGGATTCCTGGATCTTTAGAATTTATACGAAATAAAGTAAAATAAATGCATTATATAACGATTTTCCTGCAATTCTAAAACGCACCGAAGTTTAGAGAAAAAGTTCTGACTGTCTGAAGAAATCAATTCTAAAAAAATCTGATCAGTCTTAGATGGCTATATTTCCATGAACGGAAAGCAATCAGAAAGACTTGACTGGATTGCATAAAAGTGTACCTTAACAAAAGACAGTGGTTTCTGGTCGATCTTAGAGTACATCTAATAGTGCTTCAAAAAAAAAAAAAAAAATTAAAAGTAAAACTTAACTAATAAGCCTGATATATCAATATAGACCCCTGCGGGTTAGGGGCTTAAGAATTTACCCCTGGTAAGGCATGCCTATCGTAAGAGGCGACTAAAATCCAATAGTTCCCGCGGCAGTCGGGTCTTTATACCGGAACGACCCGGATTTTTATCCGGTCAAGGACTGTCACTCCCGCAACATTCCCTGACAACCAATTCGAGGAATAATTTGCGGTTGCAACAACAACAACAACAACATATATCAATATACTATTTAGACAAAATATTTAGTATCATAATTGTAGAAGCGCACGTTTTGATGTTTGAAAAAAACCATTTCAAAAGTTTTAAACATGGAAATTTTTCTGATTTATTCGACAATATTTATTTTGTGCGTTTAAGTGATGACCATTGAGTAGTTCCTCAAAAGTTTTAAAGCGTTTTTGATAGTATTACATTATTTATAACTGAATACGAGCTCCATTCCACTCCCTACTGAAATTTCGCCTTAATTCGTATGTTTTAATTCGTTAACCAGCTGCAATATCCACTTTATTGGCATTTCCTCCTCAGCGCATGGCAACATTACATCTATAGGGTATTTCTATGCACCTTAAGCGGTCCACTATTCTCTCTATTCGCCTCTTTGGCCTAAATCAAATAACCCCACACCTAAACAAATCTGTCTCCTTATCTAACTACTTTATTTTGGCTTTCTTACTCAGTTGATTCTACCTGAATTCTGCAAAATAAACTTTGATTTATCAGAAATAATACAGTTTTTCATTTTTTAACTGTTCAGTTTAAAAGTAATAACGCCAAGGAATCAGCTAAAATCGTGGAATAGAGGGAATAATGAACCGCTTAGGCGACATAGATATTTTCAAAAGATGAAAAAAAGTCACAAAATTGTAAAGCCCACCGCGATAACGATACCAAACCTATTTCCAGGCACTATAAAATCTGGTTATACAGTCAAATTCTTAAACTGGACCGCTTAATCTTTCGATTTAAATCCGATTGATAGCTATTTGGTGAATATGTTTCCGAAATGTTGGAAGAGGAAGTTGTAAAAAAAATAATGATTTGTTTGAGGTTGGTTGAGGTGATGAAAGAAACATTTTTGGATGCTTAAAAGATGTGCTGGAGTCATTAAAAAAAAAATGTACACAGTACAAATTTGCAATAAGCATACATATTTTCACTATTAAGAGTGTGTGTTTTAGTTTTAACAAGTCACTTCTTAAATACTTGAATATGTTTAATTTTATTTAATTAAAAGTAAAATACTGTCTTTTTTGTTATATTTTATAAAAGTCGAATTATAAATTTCATTTAGTAGTTTGGCTTTATTTGAAACACTTTCAGGGGAGAGCTTTAGTTTTGTCAAATACTGTATGTGTATATGGGCATATTGGTATATACAAATGTACATACAAGAAATGCATAAGGTAGTTTCCCTAAAAATTTCTTCATCTCAATATATTTTTAAATGGAAAATATTTAATTGTTTTACACAACTTATTGACGAATTTGCAGCACTCTAAAAGCAAAACATATTATTAAATTTCCTGTCTGCTTACAAAGTTTCGTTAAGGAAATTTTTAAAAATTACTAAAGGAATTTGCATTAAGAAAACTAATAAATAAAATATTTTTATAACTTTCAATAAATGAAAAATGTACTTTTCATGGTATTACGAATAAAGAAATGCAAAGCATGCAAAAATTTTAAATAAACCTGTTGTTGTTGTTGTTGTGAAAATATTTTTTTAATGCTAACTAGTTCAAAAGACACACTTTGCTAACAAACTCGTTTCTTCTACCCCAAAGTTGTATTATTATATTCACTTACATATAACAGCTCATTGCCAACGCATTGCTGCAAAACAAGCTGCTCATATTTGAACATGATTCAAATTCTTCAAATAGCTAAGAAGTCAATTATATAATATAATTTTCACTCAAAAAGAAAAGAAAAGAAAAACAACGGAAGCGATATTCCAAGGTGAGGAGAACTCGCCTTCGTCCTTTCTCCTCATATACTTTCTCCTGAGTAACCACTGAAGCGATTTTTGGCTGAGCTCCGCCCTCCAATTTGTGGTGTGTGTCTTAATGTTTTCCAACCAAATGGAGGGATCTAAGACGGCAGATTTTTCTGAGGTACTGAGGTGCGGAAGACTGCTCTTCAACATTTTTTTAAATACAATATGTCAAGAAGCACATTACATAATAATTAATTACGACTTTAAATGAGAATATCAGATATTTCTCTTTAAATTCAGCAACTCTTGATGTGTACTTATGTCGCCCAATGGCTTGGCGTACAGTCTCGTATGACACAACTAAGTCACATTCTACCTTAAGCTCTTCTGCATTTTAAACATTTTAATTACGATTATCGAGAGCAAAATCTAATCGAAAAACAGAATGTGTAAAGAATTGAGGGCCAAAAATGTGTAAATTAAGTTTTTGTTGTTTTGTTCGTTGCATATTTTTTTTGTTTGCTATTATCAATATATGGTAATATTTTTCAATTGGATTGCAATACACAATATTTTTCTTAATTTAAACAGAAGTCTATGATTTTCGCATTTAAACTCCGAAATTTTATTTCTGGGTGTAAGAACTTTTCTTGTCATACTAAATATATGTATGTTTATTTAAATAATTATATATATTTTTATTAATTCATAACAAGTCGGCAAAAACTGCCCTAAGCGATATATTGGCTCGCGGCTTATAGCGCTTAGTGCTAGTGTCACAGCTACTACATTTTGAATCACGTAAATATTTCTTGTTTGGTTTATATAGCAATTCCCCAAACCCTTGTGGCAGCGTGAAATTTATCTTCGCATGAGTTAAGGTAATATTTTGTTGTTAAAAAGTTATTCTTGTACCTGCGCCACAACCAGGAAAATATTACGTTTTTAAAAAAAATTTAAACTAAAAAATTTCGTTATTTAGTTATTTTCAATTTCGATTTTACATTTCTTCAAATACTAAAAATAACAAAAACCTAATCAACAAGAACCAATTGAGTGAGCCGTTCATTTTTATGGATATTTTTAAAGATAGAAAAAAGTATTATATTTTCATAAGCAAAATTAACACCTTTTTAATTCTGGATGCCTTTTTGCTGGACCAAAATTCTTATTCTTCTGGTCTAACCTCAAAGATTTGATCAAAACTTGAACTCCTATTATAGGTGGTGACGCCACGTAAAACTGGTGCGAAAAATTATATTTGATTTGCCCATATTCGAAATAAAAGTTGACGAAAGTCATGATATAGGGGCAAACAATTATTCTGTTATATGACAATAATCAATAACACTAATTTTAAAAATTGCTGAAAGTAATAGAAAGCATAAAATAAGAAGCTATACGTATTTCGGCGACCTAGTTAAAACTGAGACTTTTCAGTCGACGTGATATACATATGTACACATAAGCGAAAATTTGCAAAATCTAACTTCTTACTTGACTCAATAACGAAACAATTTCCCTGTCTGTATTGGCGAGCAGTTCGTCTTGATTGTCATTAGCTCTCGCCAACGTCACAATATCATCGTGATTGATGTACATGCCGCGAGGTGGTTTTCGTTTATTTCTCTCAGAATTGCGATCTCTTGACCGTTTGCCAAAATATGGACCAGAAGTGGGACGTTTATTGCCAGTGCGTCTGTAACATGCCATTTGATTTCACACGGAGACATATGTGCAATAAAAAAAAATAATAATAATGAAGGAATTTAGTACGTTTTCAATTAAACGTCTTTAATATAATGTATTTTACCTCCAATGGTGGTGGCAACTCGAGCATAGTTTACCGTGCGGCGAGGCATTAAGTACACTACATGGGACTCCACAATTGGTGCAACAACCGCCCAAACTGGCCGAGTCCGCATTTGAACAAGATGAATCAGTATTCGCCGTGTTAGGCGGTGTCTGTTGGCGTTGATGTTTAATAACTATAGGTAAAATACCGACATTGGTAACAAGACCACTGTCACGCTGTGTGGCGATATTCAATGAAGCAGAAGCCGTTGTGTTCTCACTTTCGGCTTCGCTACTCCCAATGCCGCAACCCACAGCAGTACCGTTTTCACTTGATTTATTTGATTTATTCGGTAATTCGGCAGAATTGCTAACACCGACTACTTTAATTTGATCTTGCGAACCAGAAGCCGAGGCCAATGCTTGATCCTAAAAGCGGTTTGGGTAAATGATGAATTGTTGTTGGTAGAATTTGTGTCCCAAATGAACGTGTTGCATTAAGGGAAAGAAAGAGAGAAAAATTAACGTTTATGCGGTTTAACTTTGGAATATTTTATACTTTTACTAGTTATCTGAATTACATATAATTTTACTTGTCATAAAGAAGTTATCAAACAAAATTTTTGCATGTGTCAGAAAACCACCTAGTCTTTGCAAATAACAAATCTTATTTGCAAACATGACGCGGCACACGCAACAACAATCAGACGTGGGGTCAACATATCGGCACCAAACACAGCGCAAAAACCAAGCATCGGGATTTCTAATCTTATTGATACAAGTGAAAAAGAGATTTTGCAATATTTTCGAACTGGAAAAGTTTCGCAACAACAGCAAAAAAAAAGTAATTTTATGCAATGAAGTTGTTGTTAAAATACCAGAATGAGATTTTTAACTAATAACTGTGATTAAAAATAATGATAGCAAAGAATGCAGTCAATGGAAATGAATGAAAAATAAAGTTTAACATTACATTAGAAGAACAGTGAAAATAACTTAACAATTGTAATTTATTGCCTAAACACAACCATTGAGTTAAATATTAAATTTTATAACCAATCGATTACTACTTCTTTATAATTATCCCAAATTCAATTTAAATTCCGTATAAATTTATTTTAAGCACTCTTTATCGTTTACTTCTTTGAAATAAAATCATTTTCAACTAATTTATACAATTAACAAAAAGCTTTTAAAATGAAAGAAACACATGAATTTTGTTTAATCTTCTTGCAGACAATAAACGGTTTATTGACAATTATGTACTTATATTTAGTGTTAGTAGAAGATCTATACAGTCTTTGTGAATAAGATCTTAAAAAATTAACTAAGAATAAATACATAAATATAGGCGTGTTGTTTCACTTGGACTACAACTAGCACAAAATCGTGTGAACTATGAATACAATCTTTTGGACCACAAGTTAATTTAACAAGATGTAATTCTTCGCATCCATCATTCTTGCTTATATCTAAATTGGGAGATTTGTGTAGGTTATGCTTATAAAATATACTTTGCATAGCACATATGTTTCTTGTGGTAAAACATTAATGCTTTATATAGCTTTAACGAAAAAAATGTATGGTAAGAGTATATGGTGATGTGTCGAGAATTAAGATTTTGTCCCTTGATTTAATGTGCTTATAGTAATGATGTGATTGCCTCTTTTGAATCATAATGACAAATTATACTTTATGACAGTTATGCACATACATTTAAATAAATCTTAATGTATAATGTTAAAATTGAAACAAAGAATGAGATTATTGCCTAAATAAATACAACTAATAATGTATATATAGAGAATGGGTTTGCTCAATTATAATTTTATATAGTAATTTGCATTTATTGTTAAACCACTGTAAAACTAGAGAAACCAATTTCAATTTGAATGTGAATCATACCTGAGTGTACGAATATTTCTAACTAATAATTACCTTGTCATCTGTATCAGATTCTTCATTGCTACCATTTTCACTTCCATTCTCTGAACCTTCTTTAGATGCTTTCACTTTCTCCTGACGATCCATTACACTTTGTCTGTGGCGTGTTTTCTTCCACGAGTAGTAGTATTTCACCAAGCTGGCTATCGATTTATCAGGCAACTATTTACATATATATATATAAACCATAATAATGAAATTTTCACGAAAAAAATCAAAATGAGAAATTTACCATTTGCCGGATCCGATGAAAACTCTTTCCATGAAACTGGAATGCTTGTTCGAATAACACTTTATCCTCTATAGTCCATTCATCAGGAAAAGGTGTAAAATTAGATAAATCCATTACGGCTCGTTCTAGATCATGCTTGTGCCAGAACAGCATACCTAATGCCTGTTCTCCATTATAACCATATTTCTCTTTAGCCACTGATATATATTCTTCAACTAAAATTAGTGAAACGAAAAAAAAAAATTAATATATAAAATATTAAAAAGTTAAAGTAAGCGTATCTATCAACCTATTGATGGAAGGCATTTTTTTACATTACAAAATAAACACCTCGACACAAATCGAGGAAGGTCATTATGGACAAAAATCACATTACTTCATAAGTGCAGAATAAAAGTTAAGGTAGAACAAAATGAATCAAAAATCGTAATCCACTCTGATTTCAGGATTTTAATGATATACATTTTTTTTCGAGGCAAACTTTTATTTTCATAGGTATGGGGAGACAAAAAGAGAATTTCGAAAATTACAAAACGATATATCTCCAAAAATTGTACACCAACTATTTATGTAATAAATAGGTTGTCAATCTCCGCGAGTATGCTGATATTTAAGAAAATTCATATTTCTTATTTATAAAATTTGCTAAACAACTTTTTGAGATATAGCGTTTTATAATTTTTGAAAATTCACCTTCTACGAACAAACTTTTGCCCCCAACAAAAAAATGTATATCATTAGAATCAGGTAGAGGGCGGACTTCAAGCACTTTTTCATTTTGTTCCACCATAACGATTTGTATTCTGCACTTGTTCCACATTGCCTAAAAGACACCAACAGTCAATTAAGATTGTGTATCATCTTGTAAATATCATTTCTATGTTATTTGAGTTATTTAATTAATATTACAAGATAATTGCTCAACGATTACTTTTTTATTATCATTATAAAACCGGGAGAGAAATTTAAAATGCAAAGTACAATTCTTCTAACAGGGCAAACCACTAAAAGGTCGGTCAAAATTAAGATAGTGATGGGAATACTACTATCATATAATTAGATCTTGAATACTTTTAGAAATATTTAATGATTAATTTCCATTAAAAACATTAAAAAGCACAAGTATTAAATTTAATTAAAAAAAATGACATAGCTTCTGAACTCTGCGAAATATTTTTTAATAGTTCCAGAATGTTTCGAATTTGATTTATGAGAGATCTAGTTAAATGGCAAAGTTTGGAGTTAGGTTTCATATGTAATCATCAGTATGACAATTTCAAAGTCTCATCATATTTCAAAATGAAAAAAAAACTTCCAATCTCAAAATTGAAAAACACCGGAATTGTTTCTTTTTTACTTACGCTTAGCGTCAGGTATCTCTCGAGTAGGCGACCACACAAGAAGTGCCCGGTCATTTAAACCATCGGGTTTACGTTCATTTTCAGGTATTAAAGGCGGGCATACAGCTTGGTAATCACGACCAACACGAATTTTCTCTAAAATATATACATATATACCGTTAATTAACAAATAAAACTTAAATATAAAATGAAACAAACCTTCATATTCACTCTGTTTATTCTTAGATTTTCCGTTGCGTTTTATTGCTGTTTAAAATTATAAAATAATTACTTTTCAATCTGAGTCATTAAATTTTTAACTCACAGTTATCATCATCTGAACTTGTCTCTGGGGTTCCAGCACCGCCAATCTGACCTCCACCCCCAATATTAGAGCTTGTACTGACGGCACCAGCCACAGTAACACCTCCTCCATGACCGTTTGGACTGGGACCGCGTGATCGTCTTCCATTGCGTACCAGTTCTGAATTTCTCTCCGCCAGGACCATTTTGTCTCGAATCAGTTTCACACGATTTTGTTTCTCCAGTTTTAAGCTGTTACAGCTTTAGCTGCACCGCCTTATGCAATAAACCGAGAGCTTCCTTCAAATTTATTTCAATTGTTCAATCTACATATATGAAAGATATATTTTTCTCTTTTAATATTCAAATACTGAAATTGCAAAATCAAATGAGAGATAGTTCAGTCACAGCAAAGAAAGTGACCAAGAAGAAGCATGCGAACGATGCGACAAAACATCTTTCAATGAATTTGCGACTGTCAATTCCCGCTTTTACAGCCTACTTTTCAACGACCATAGATCGTAAATTCTCTTTAACACACAGGAACAAAAGCAATTAGCGAATTACCAGTCGAACATTGCGATTTAATAATTTTTAGAAATTTTTAAATTCTTGGTGTTCAATACGGATACAATTATGTTGCACATAAAATACAGACGTTATTTCACTTTTTAAGGCAGATGTATCATGTTAAGTTATACTATGATCTAAATCAAGTCCTCCACATACTAATACATAAAATCTTCTTCATAAATTTTAATAGCATACTTACATATTTGTCTACACGCTTTAAAGTTGACTTAACAGTCGAAAAGATAAATTTATTATTTTCAGCAATAGTAGTAAACTTTTCAAAAGTCGCCAGCGTCCTATAGAAATAATACAACAACCTCGCTTCTTGCCACAATCACAATGAATGGGCAGGTAAAATTCGCAACCGCTGATTAGTAAGCAAGTTTGCTGAATTCACAGTATACTTAAAAACGACCGAAGTTCAGTGTACGTAATCTACTAACAAAAAGAGCTTGTAAATGCTTGCGATTTACATATCAAACACATAATGCATTGGTAAATGTAAATTCACAAAACGAAATAAAATTATGTTCCATTAAATTATAATTCAATTAGCAGGCTATAAAATATAAATTTACGGTATTTGGATGGGCTATGTTCACTAATCAATGCAATGCCTATTATTCAGCAATACTACAGTTGCCACAGAACACCATTTTTAAGAAAAAACTGTTTAATTGATATTCTGCTATAATTGCAAAAGTCGGCGGCGAAAATGATTTATAGGAATAGCAGATAAAATAAGGGGAGGCGTCGGAGAGAGTACATTCTAGAGATCGAGTTTCCACTATTCTGCGTCATGCTGTGTTTTGGGTTTTCGTGCATTTCATTTAAATTTACTGTTATCTTTACAAGATGAAATAAAACTGAAGGAATGAGTTCTTTAAGAATTTAAGAATAAAATTTGTTTCGTTGTTGTAAATATATAATATATGCAAACGTGTTTAAGTTTGGAACCAAGTACATACAAGAATAATTTATATTAAAAAAATAATGGCGAATATCAATCACGGAGAGGGGTGTACAAAAAATTGCGAAAATAAAGTGAAATGGCTGGAAGTTGCCCCAAAAAAGTTTATCCGTGTGAACGTGAAGGCTAGGATAGATTATATTGAACAGATCGGCTTCTAGGGGGTCTTACATAGGCGATGAAGATTTATGGTCATCTGCGATAGGCGATGACGGACACCGCAGGCGATGGAATGATGCACTGTTTCAAATTAACGACATTGGAATTACTCAGCCCATTAAGAGGAAGTGGTCACGCTGGAGAGATCTTTCTACATAATGGTAAAAACGTTGTCGTTGTTGGGGCTTAACAGCTTGTTCATCAACCCTATCCAAAAAGATATAGTTGACGAAGTATCAAACTAATATGCCATGATATGAATGGAATGGGTTACGGAGCACACATTGGCACAGAACAAGCGCTGTCAGTAGCGAAGTAGCCAAGCTGAACAAACTCCGGGACCTGTCAAAAGAAGCTGCATTCCTTTTCGAGGAGAACTACCAGTCGAAGGCTTCGAAAGTAGAAACCCTGATTCGATGAGTTGCCTCGGAAGGTCGCCAAGCATCACCATGTAGCCAGGACGCATGACTCAGCACATCGTTCGAGAAGAAACCTGCAAAAGCGCATCAAAAGGATAGAGTCGTTGCACTCACCACCGAAGAAGCAATGAACGAACTAGAAGTAAATCCATTATACGTCGAGTGAGACTCAGTGGATAGCAGGCGATCTTCCTCGGAGAGATCTATTATCAGTGTTTAGGGACATAGACCTCCACTAAGAAATACATCATCTAGAAAACATCTCTACTACTACTAGGTGAAGACTGGGAATATGTCTTGTTACAACTGCAAGTCCAAAACGAAGGTTTTTACATTTCCCTTTGAAGATATGAGAAACTCGCCTTAAGTATTTAAGATTTTATTCTTAAGTTCTAAAAAAATGCAACGATTCAATATTCGTTATTTCTTTTTTCTTACTCAGAGAACAGCGAACGTAAATATGTGCTCAGTTATTTTCTATATATTTAAAAAACAAAAGCGTAATGAAAAATTGCAAATGTAGAGTCGATTTGCCTTAACCCATTTGGGAATGTTTCGTCGTAGGTGCTTAATTTTCCGTGAAATAAACTCATCAATAAAATTTTACTCGCTTGCGAAAATGTACTGAAGAATGCGAGCGACAACTCCTAGCGAGTGAAGGCAGGGCATTAGTAGATAATAAAAAAAGTTTGGCATCACTGTTACATAAAATACCTAGCTATTTACTTCTGTTTTTGATTACTCACAAAAAAGTAATTTAGTTGGGTATTAAATCTTTTAGGGTGAAAAGATTTAATTATCCTTTTTAAATTATAAATTTTTTTTTTAATTCGGGACATTTCGAAAAATGGCAACAGAAGTTGAAACTCAAGGTGCTCCGCAGAAGTCTAAGAAACCTTCAGGCAAGTTCTTTACATGTCGATATGTACTTTGTAGATGAGTAATATTATTGATTACATTTGCTTATCTGCACATATACATACACTTGACCATATATATTTTTGTTCTAGACAACTTCTTGTTAATATTTTATAATATTTTAGATTCTGCATTCAAACAACAGCGACTTCCTGCTTGGCAGCCCGTGCTAACAGCCGGCACTGTATTGCCTACATTTTTTGTAATAGGCATACTGTTCATACCTGTAGGAGTTGCGCTGCTTTATTTTTCCGATGAAGTCAGTGAATTTGTATATGACTATACCGACTGCAAGCAAGTTGGCCGTAACTTAACTTGTGCTGAATACTTAAAATCTAATTACAGTGGCTCTTGTAATTGCGAGATTGAGTTTGAGTTACCTAAAGACTTTGCAGTAAGTAATAAAAATGTTTTAAAATTTTAGTTATTAAGATATTTTTGAAATTGCATGCTAGCCTCATAGGCGCTTTTGCACGCCATCTTTCAACATGCTTAGGAGCAAACGAGTCTAGTCTAAGTCACCTCGAAAAAACAGATGGTTCTTAACATACATAATCTTTATATTTTCTTTATATATCCTTTGTGTAGCACATATTACGGTATCAGGGTGAAAAATTTGGCAAATCTACTGATAAAAAATATTTTTTACAATAAATTTTGATGAAAGAATCTTATCTACATATTGTTGTTGTATCCGCAAAATATTCTTCAAATTGGTTTCCGGGGAATATTGCGGGAGTAACAGTCCTTGGATGGATAAAAATCCGGGTCTTTCCGGTATAAAGACGGGAACTATTGGAATTCAGTCATCTCTTACGACCAGCATGCAATGCCCCTAACCCACAGGGGCTCGATCACTTTGACATATAATTGCCAAACATTTTTTGTTTCCGGGCACTTTGATTTCTTAACATGGTTCGGCTACTAACAATTCCATTTGTTTTTGTTTTTGTAATCGCAGAACCGTCTTGCAAGTTCTTCGCTTCGGAAGTTCAAGAATGCATTATCGTAATTGTAAAATACAAAGATGTATTACATTTGCACTGGCAAATAGAACATAGAACTATTTGAAACTTTGAGGGACTTCAAGTGCTTGAAGCAAAGCTGCATTTTGTCTATTTCAATATGTTCTATGTTATGTTGACGGTTCTCACAGCAAAGCAAATAAAGCCTGCCGGCATTGAGCCATGGCAAGGAAACCAGGAAATATTACTTTACTTTTGAACTTTTGTATTAATATCACCGTGGCATGATGCAATTATAATTTTTTATATTTTCCGGGTGCAAAACGGCGTAAAAGTTCTAATCATTCAAAAAAGAATAATATCAGTCATAACATTTTCAAGTTAGAAATCTCATATGTGTGTACATAATTTATTATTTTCAGGGAAATGTTTACATGTACTATGGACTCAGTAATTATTATCAAAACCATCGACGATATGTAAAATCTAGAGATGATGAACAGTTGTTGGGACGATTGTCTGCAGAGCCCTCAACAGACTGTGTTCCATTTGCATATGTTGAGGAACTCGGCGTTAACGTACCTATTGCACCATGTGGAGCGATCGCCAATTCACTTTTCAATGGTAATAAATTGATTTAAAAAAATATATATGCTAATAATCTTACAATATAACCTAATTTTTGTAGATACGTTAACATTAAAATTCGGTGATAACGATGTTCCACTACTTAATACCGGCATCGCTTGGCCCTCCGACAAATCAATTAAATTTAAAAATCCTCCTGGAAATTTATCTGAGGCTTTAAAACATTTCAGTAAACCAAAGTTTTGGCAAAAAGAACTCTGGCAATTGGATCCGCAAAATCCTGAAAACAATGGATTTCAAGTATGTTAAATTCTCATATTCATTTTCATTCATGGAGGCCATTGAATGATTGTTAGTCTACTTGTGCATAGTGGCAAATACTATGTATAGCGACTGATAGTATAGAGACGAACAGAGAAAACACTTGAGCGTTTAAAATTTAAAAAACCTGAACAGTAGTTGAAGTGTGAGTGGGAGTTGTTTCTACACTGGATTAATACATTTCTTGAAATGACAGACTCTGTACGAATTGCAGATAACGGCAGCTGATTTTGTTTGTTTTCAATTGGGTAAAAATGTGAATATTGTGAAATTGGAAAAAATAATGGATACAAAGCGATTTTTTAAATATTTACTTCATAAGGAAAAGCAAGTCTGCTTAGTAAAGTTAATCAAAAAATTGAAAATTTGGAAGTGTTAACTGTAACGTTGCTTTTTTGAATGAATAATTAAATTCTATTACTCAGTGGCCTAAATTTTACTTATTCATTCAACTCCCTTTGGTCCATTCCCGTCGAAACAACTCGTTTCCTGGACCTCCCACTAGATGACTTCGGCGACTTAGATTAATCAAACTTTTGCCTAAGCGGGGTTAGCGAACCGCTACAATAACAACAACACAACAACAAGAACTCAGTGGCCTACAGCCACCAGCGCGTTGTTATGTAATATTTGATGGAAACTATTGTACTCAGTTACCAGCTTTCTAACAGCCTCCATACCTACTAATAAGTGTATTAATTATATTTAAATATATATAATTTTCTTTAATATTATATTGTAGAATGAAGATTTAATAGTTTGGATGCGCACTGCAGCATTACCTAGTTTTCGCAAACTTTATCGACGTATTGATCACTCCAAGCCAAATTTTCAAAATGGGTTAAAGAAGGGTGTTTATACACTGAACATAGTATATCGTAAGTATAAATTGTATTTTCAAAATGGAATTTATATTTTTTGATTATTACCAAATATATGTATGTAATTGTGTTGCTGTTCTTTCAATTAGAATATCCCGTTAAATCTTTCGATGGTTCAAAGAAAATGATTTTATCGACAACTTCATTACTTGGCGGTAAAAACCCATTCCTTGGTATTGCATACATTGTTGTTGGTTCCATCTGTTTAGTTCTTGGTGTAGCCTTACTGTTCATACACATCAAATGTAGCAAAAGGTTGGTATAAAATTTACAAATGATTTATTAGTCCGAAATCACTGAAATATGTCTGTATGTTCTCTATTCCAGCACTTCGGAAATGATAAACGTCAACCCGCGTACCCCATATTCGTAATTGCCTTAAATTAATTAGTACGAACTGACGTAAAAAAACTTAGCAAAAAAAAGTTGAATGCTTATTTTAAATTATTTATATGTGCGTAATTTAAATTTACGAACAACTTGTCAAGACCTTGTATCTTAAGTATAATTCACAGTATCTTAGTTGTAATAGAAGTAGATTAAGCACGCATCATTGTGGTTACGTTGGATTGTTTTTGTTGAATTTTAAGTTTTAAGCTTTTTAGGGACGCTGCTGAGAAACGTAAACTTAACATTGAGTCCTTGTTATTTCTGTTATGATCCCTCAAACATCTCAAAATTAGTTTTGGCAAATGATGTAGTAGTGACCGAGCAAAACTGTGAGAAGTTTTGTATTCAAGAATCGAGTGTATTCTTGATGTATTTAAACTAAATGCATTAGTCTAGGACACAAAAGTATGTTTAATTGTTTCGGCGATTTATTGGTGTCCAGTCAATTATGGGAATTTTACCTTCTTTGCTATAAGTGTTAATAAAAACTGTGCAAGTTAAAAAAAAATTCTTCAGGCTGCGTAGTTTATATAATATTAAGTATTATCACACATATTGGCGATCAACACCGAATGCAGGTATTTTACAGGGTGGGTATGTAAACGCTGAATAACTCATATTTACCAACCGAGCAATTGCATCAGATATGTTTTGGAAACATCAATTCAGTAAAATTTTTACATGGATCGCACTTTACATCGAAAACAGTCGTTCTATTGTGTTAACTCAACGTGCATATCAGAGAAAATATCTCTCTCAAATCTGGTATCAAAAAGAGGGGACATTGACTGCCACCTAGATCATCTGATTTAACCCCCTCGGGCTTTTTTTGTGGGGTTATCTGAAAAGCAAGGTTTGCGCCAACCAGCCTCAAACTATTGATGAGCTCATGGCTAACATTCGTGCTGAAGAAATTGACGCTATAACACCCGAGATGCTCGGAAAGGTAATGGTAAACGCAGGAAAAAGGAGTAATTTTTTAATTGCTAATAAAGGTAGCTACTTAATTGATATTGTTTTCAAAACCTAATCCAAAAAAAAAATGTAGGGAACCAAACTGAATAAAAATACATCACTTATAGAAAGAAATCGTTTAATTTTTCTCAAACTTATTTAATGTTCACATATCGACATAAAAGATGGAGCACCCTGTATTTAATTGCTTAGTACTATACAGTTTTTATTGTTATAAGCAATTCTTTCTTTGATACTCTCATCAATTGGTCTTATTGCATTGAAAATGAAATTTTAATACAAATAAATAATAATAAAAAAAATTATTTGACGGCAAAGCATATTATCATTTTTAATTTTCTTTCTTGTAAAATAGTTTGAGGACAATATCACCATGGCATGCGTAATCAATTGTTCTAAATAACTTGGATTATACGTCTAGGCATGCTCTCACCGCATTTTGTAAGATTTTGCTTGTACTGTTTTAATCTCCTCTTGACAAATGCTCACAAATTTTCAATTGCATTTTGTTTGGCCTGTGTGGACTGCTGGAAATTTTCTTTAAGCAACCAAATTGTTTTGATTTGTTTTTGATCTGCATCCTTGTGGAAAATATTTCTTCCACAAATTTTTGTAGATGATACTTTAACTATGGTCCTAAATTACACCAAGTAAAACGTCTTCAAATCAGGTAATTCCTGCATAAGTGCATAAGTGCATCATGGTTGCTTAATCCTTCTCATCATGGGTTTTGTTGAAGCCAATCCGGCCTAATCCGACCTGTTAAAGATCTCCCCGGACCACATTCACATATACCTCCCGCGGGGGCTCGGTAGCTCCTAGTGTGCACCGTCTGTCCCACGTGTTAGACCATAGTGAGTTGGGACTGGTGCTATCTTTGGACCATCCCATGTTGTAGAAGTCTGCCTTCACTTACAAGTAATACAACTTCGCCAGGAGCTGTCCGGTGATACTATCGTTTATTACCGCCGAAGTTGAATGTATAAAATATCTGGTTGGTCGAAAGTCATTGGAAGAGTTTCGAAGTAAACTACTAAATTCAATAAAATTAAGCAAGGATTTTACCATAACTACAAATTCTTGGCTAACCTTTTCATCAGCTGGACGAATATGTACTATCTCTAACTTAATGCGAAAGTCGTTGATGTAAAATTTCCGACAATAAATAATTCGAAATGGGAGTTAGACTCGATAGCCTGCACTCGACATAGTCAGATGATGAAGACTACTGTCTGGCGTATTGCCGGACTTTAAAGATCATTCACCGATGCTCTCTCAAGACCTTCATTAGCACAATGGAGTTTTCGGAATTCAAGTACGAGCTTTAGAAGATCAAGAGGTCGGGCTGCCTCGAGGGATTTAAATAATACTGGTAGAATAAAGATCTGGATATTAAAGTCGACTTAATTCTTACGTATTCGGAATTGACCTCCAAATAGCGAACGTATGTCTTGCATGCAGCACACGACAATAACCACCTCCTTGCATGCCCCTAAAACCAACTAATTTAAACCCATTTTCTCTCTGGTCCGTACTCTTCGAAACAGCCAGTTTCCTGCATCTCGCGGTAGATGATCTATTCTATTGGACTAGTAGTCTCGCCTGCTACTAAGCGGGGTTTCCGAAGTGCATCAACAATAGCAGCAACGGTTTGGTTTATATAATTATTTTGAGCACGTTTTTTGCGGCAATAATAATCTTTCCATCACTAAAAAGGATTAATTTTCGATTCGTCAGGGTAAATTACCGTTCCAACCTTGTGGTTTCTATAAAATTCAATTCTCGCCTTGATATTGTTCGCAAATCAAATTTGTGCGGGAAATTGACGGAAATACAACCTTGTTTATGTTTTGGGACAGGCCACTTAAAGTACCACCTTTGACCAGAATAGAAAGGATCAACACAGACCATCATTCGTCAATTTGAAAACTGCCATAGCACGAAAAGAAGCTTCCACTATGTCTGAATTTGGTATCTTCCAAAATGTTATATACTAAGTAAACTGACTTCCGGTACTATAGAATTTGAGGACAAAGATATTCTTCACCGTTTTTTCTTTTTTAATTTAATGCTGGAGAAAGTAATAATAATCGAAAAACTCGGCGATGTAGTAGAGTTACACACCTTTCGCGGGAGAGCACCTAGCGAGAAGACAATTAAAAAGTAGTTCTGAGGAGGTAGTCCCATACCATAACAGTATCGAGGAAAATAACCCAAGGAGTGAGTTCGAAAGGCAGCTAGAAGTCAGCAAAGAGACTTCACGACCAGCAACAAGTTCCAGAGGCTTGACAAAGAAAGACCCATAATGCCGTTAAAAAACTCAGCGAAGTGACAAGGTAACACCTGGCAGATGCAGCTCATTAAGTATAAAGGATTTGAAATTTCCTCTGAAATTATAACTGGTATATAAATACATACATAATATTTAGTACTTTGTAGCCCCTGGAGTGATTTTCGGCCGAACTCTTAGTCCAATTTGTGGTGTGCATCTTGATGTTTTTCCAACAAATGGAGAGACCTATAGTTTTAATTTTTTGGCATCCAATGATCTCTTCCTGGTTAGCCTTGTAATAGTTATGCCATTTTGGCCCGTTTTCATAATGTCCGATTTACTTACCCTGTAGCCGGAGATGGCTAACCGGCAGATAGGCTAATATGACGCTTTCGTTTTCACCAAGTTCTGGTTACTTAACTTCTGGTTAGCTTCATCATTGTGAATATTTTAAGATGAATTCACAAAAACGTACGCTCTCTGGTATTTGCTTACATTTTTCTACACGGTATGGTTCAGTAATTTTTAAGATCTTCCGTTTTTTTTTTAATTTTAAATTAATGAAATTTATTTCATATATTTTTATTTGGGAAAAGAACTTTGATTTAAAATTACATGAATAAAATGTATGTAGCCTACTGTATGTGGTTTCCTTGCACCCCAGCTATGTTTTCGTCGGCATCAACGGATGTTTCTGCTGGTTCATTCGCTTGAAATCCCAGCTCATCCAAATTAGAGCTATTCTAGATAGCAAAATTATGCAACACTCTACAGGCAACAATGATGCTCATAGTTGTGCTGAGCGAAACTCTCTATCCATATCTTTTCGATATGCAATTTCAAGTAGAGATTTGATATTCATTGCGAAGACGTTCAGCGCGAAGTTCACAAACCATAACCATAACCACTACCACCCAATTTAAAGAAGTCCCTAAATCCGTTTTGCTCAAGCCGGTGGTTCAGACAGCTATTATTAAAAATAATGTTGTCATGTCATCTGAATACAAAGTCAATTACATCCATTTTATAAGTACCCTGTTCTGATTGGATAGCTTTCGGTATTTTCTTCTCCAGGTGATTGGATTTTGACATGAGTGCAATCTAAACACCCCAACACCGTTAGAAACTTCCCTATTCGGTGAAATGTGCGTATTGTGCTCTCAGTTTCCTTGCTTTTTTCGATATTCTGAGGAAAGATTGCACAAGTGCCGCTGGTAGCAATGGATATTATTTACCACCTGACTTGGCAGTCGCCACTTTTATTGCGCCCAACACCGGAACACAAATTAATACACTTTCCGATGCATAAAATCGTAAAAGCAAAATTTCCTCTGCTTCATTCCCGCAAAATTAAATAAATTATCAACAATATTTATTTACCCAAAGCACATTATTTTCACAAACCTTTCAATGCGGTTGCTAATTTTACTTTCTATTTTTTCAAAAATGTATTTTGCACTAATTTTGGAAAGACGAAATCTAATAATAAAAACTTCTGCATCATATAGTCTAACGAAAAAAATTATTTGTCTACGTCACGTTTCTAACTTTCTGAATACGCCTCTGACTAAACGTAGCCAAAGAGGCAGTGCGTTACAGATTTTCCATACTAAAATTCATTTAAAAGCCAACAGCGGAATACTTTTTCATTTATTATTTGCAATTTCCAGCTGCCAAATTGTCGTCTGGTTAAGAGCTAATCGCCACTCACAGGCCTATTCTGTTGAGGTAACAAAATTTACCTAGGTATTAAAATTTACCATTCAGTAAATTTTGTTACCATTTCGTATTCTGAGCTCACTGTTGCCCTGTAAATTTTGTTACCAGCGAAATAGGAGGTAACAAAAATATCTGCTGTTTGATTTTGTGTTGTAAGTTTGAGAAAAAATAAGAAATCAAAATGGGTAGGCATATTTTAGGCCCGGAATTCATTGAAGATGAAGAAAAAAGTGCAAAAAGCCGTATTTAAAGAAGTTTTCGAGACAAAAAATGACCCTTTCAATTTGTAAGAAAACGTTTTAATTCAGTTTTTTTTTGTTGTCCAGACATATTTTCCATAATTAGGTTCAAATATTTATGATTTAATTAACAAATTAATAAAACTTTTTAATTTTTTTGTGCATGGAAGACGGTGAATATTTTTCTTTTTACTTTATCAACTGACAAACAGAGTGAATTGGCCTGTCAATGTTGACATTGTGAATTTTATGCTATCTTCCGATTAAGTTATGGATTAGTGCTTAACCGGAGATGGTGAAAAT